TTTTAGTCAAATAAGCGATTTTAACGGTCATATATTGATAGAAATGTAAAAAGTTACATTAGCCACATTAAAACTTTTGACAAGTACAAAGTAAACAACATAAAAATGGCGCCTTTTAATGCATTTTTTTGTTATTAGTTTTGTGTGGAAAAAATTAATGAAAAGTTGAAATAAAGTGTTTAATATGATTTTATACTATTTAAGGTATAAAAATGAAGTGCAACCTGCTACTTTCACTAGCAAACATCTTAATTAGTTTTTAATTAAAAACCAAAATAAAGTTATAATTATTATAAACGAATGCCGTCCAACAAAGTAAGTTCTCATTAGAAATATATTTTTATAATGATTAATTAATAAATAAATGTGTGGGACTGGTTTTGTACTAGTCCCTTTGTAATAGCCTGTAAGAAGAAGAGGTTCATAGAAAGTGATATGCCCCTTTTCAGTGTTTAGAGTCGTTTATAGATTTGGGAGCTGAACAATCATTCATCTTCATTTCTTCTATAGAAATTATTGTAGAAAAGACGAATGCGACATGTAGACAATCGACAGCTGGCGGAAGTGAAGACACCATAGAAACACATAAGAAACCAATGGATTTCGTTTGTGCATATTTAAATGCTGGAATCCTACGGATTCAAGCGAACTACGCCACCGATTGCACTGTCTCAGTGATCCGAATGTAACTTCAGGATTTCTCCAATACATCGGTTTTTCGAGACATTGTGTCATAAAGTTTGAAAAAGATTAATAAGAGTACTTTATAGGTTCAAGGTATTGAAAAAAATCTAAAAACGTTCTATAAATTGTATAAATTTTTAAGTGTTTAGGATAACTGCATACACACATAGATACAAAAATTTATAACTTCTGGGTCACACAAAAAAACAAAAATTTGTTTATGTGAATATTTTATGGTAATTATTTTATTTAACGCTTTCTAAGAAATCTCTTAATCTGTGAATAATAATTAAACATTGTTTTCTTTAGGAAAAAATTGATTTTGTTTTCAATAAATTTTCATAAATAAAGATAAATTCAAGTAGATATGAATGTATGTGTGTATCTGAACAGTAGTAACTGGTTGATTTAACTTGTTTTTATTTTGATATTTGTTTTTTTTTCAAATATTTGTTATCAAAGATAGACGACACAACAACAATGTTACATACAAACAAGTCAACAGTTGTTGTTCGATCATTCTCATTTAACTCTGAATATTAAGAAATACTCCAGTATACTCAATAATTATAACGAGTTAATCAACGAACATAACCAGATATACAGTAATATATGTAAGTGTGTGTATGTATTTACGAATATCGATCGATTGCAGTTGTTTTGTTTTTTTTATTGAATTTAACGTGTTGACACTCTGAGGCGGTAGAGATTTTTTTTGGTATTAATTGTATGTATTTGAATAATAAAATATTCAGAAGTGAAACGTTTATGAGACTTGTTTTGTGTTTGCGGGGTTTCAGTCAAATCAGTCTTACTCGCCGTGTGCTAACGTAACAACGTCTTAATAGAAAAACGCCCTGTAATTTTGTGTGCTATCAAAAAAACTAAAAAAAAAAAACAAAAATAAAGAGTGAATTTACACTTAAGTGGTTAAAAAAAACACAGAAACACGTTATTAACGTCATCAATAATTAGTTTTCTTTTCTTTTTTTTGAAAACTCTTTGTTCAAATTCAATTGCTAGGTAATTTATTTAAATTTGAGAAAATTGTTTTGATCATAGACAAATAAATATAATTGAAATCAGTTCTAAATTAAGAAAAAAAAGTTAATTGATATTCAATTTCTAAACAAACCTAGACAATTTCAATTTAAATACAAATGTAACTAACTACTTACAACAACTACTGGACGCCTTATAATTGTTTGTTTTTTTGAAAAAAAAAAAAAAAACAAAAATCACTTTTAAATGTTTATAAATTTGCAAATTTTACATGTTATAAATTTGCTGGATCTAAACATGTGTTGGGGGTTTCTTTTTCAATTAAACTCTGTTTTCAAGAGTATTTAAATATTTCACTCTCAAAATATATTGAAAAATTCTTCTCTTCTGTGAATATTTCTTTGTGTGTGATTTGTTTCGTTATTTTACGAATTAAAAAAATTTGAATCGTTGATGTGATCGTTAAGATCTACTATTATTTATTATTGTTATAGTACAGATATTTTACTATAACATAAACCAGAGATGGAATTTTTGATAAAAGTAATAGCTTTTTATAAAAGGAATATACTTTCAAGTTGGTAGTCTATTGACTTGTAGATTAGTCTCTTGACTAGTCAGCGGACTAGTATATGGAATAGTCTTTTGAATAGTCTATTAACTACTCCATGGACTAGTCTATTGACTAAACTATGGACTAGCTTATGGACTTGTCTATTGACTTACCTCTCTACTGACTAGTCTATTGACTACTTTGTGGACTAGTCTAATGTCTTTCCACTAATATGAGGACTAGTCTATTGCATAGCCTGAACTGAACTATAACTGAACTAGAACTGAACTGAACTAGAACTGAACTAGAACTGAACTAGAACTGAACTAGAACTGAACTAGAACTGAACTAGAACTGAACTAGAACTGAACTAGAACTGAACTAGAACTGAACTAGAACTGAACTACTAGAACTGAACTAGAACTGAACTAGAACTGAACTAGAACTGAACTAGAACTGAACTAGAACTGAACTAGAACTGAACTAGAACTGAACTAGAACTGAACTAGAACTGAACTAGAACTGAACTAGAACTGAACTAGAACTGAACTAGAACTGAACTAGAACTAGAACTGAACTAGAACTGAACTAGAACTAGAACTGAACTAGAACTGAACTAGAACTGAACTAGAACTGAACTAGAACTGAACTAGAACTGAACTAGAACTGAACTAGAACTGAACTAGAACTGAACTAGAACTGAACTAGAACTGAACTAGAACTGAACTAGAACTGAACTAGAACTGAACTAGAACTGAACTAGAACTGAACTAGAACTGAACTAGAACTGAACTAGAACTGAACTAGAACTGAACTAAACTGAACTAGAACTGAACTAGAACTGAACTAGAACTGAACTAGAACTGAACTAGAACTGAACTAGAACTGAACTAGAACTGAACTAGAACTGAACTAGAACTGAACTAGAACTGAACTAGAACTGAACTAGAACTGAACTAGAACTGAACTAGAACTGAACTAGAACTGAACTAGAACTGAACTAGAACTGAACTAGAACTGAACTAGAACTGAACTAGAACTGAACTAGAACTGAACTAGAACTGAACTAGAACTGAACTAGAACTGAACTAGAACTGAACTAGAACTGAACTAGAACTGAACTAGAACTGAACTAGAACTGAACTAGAACTGAACTAGAACTGAACTAGAACTGAACTAGAACTGAACTAGAACTGAACTAGAACTGAACTAGAACTGAACTAGAACTGAACTAGAACTGAACTAGAACTGAACTAGAACTGAACTAGAACTGAACTAGAACTGAACTAGAACTGAACTAGAACTGAACTAGAACTGAACTAGAACTGAACTAGAACTGAACTAGAACTGAACTAGAACTGAACTAGAACTGAACTAGAACTGAACTAGAACTGAACTAGAACTGAACTAGAACTGAACTAGAACTGAACTAGAACTGAACTAGAACTGAACTAGAACTGAACTAGAACTGAACTAGAACTGAACTAGAACTGAACTAGAACTGAACTAGAACTGAACTAGAACTGAACTAGAACTGAACTAGAACTGAACTAGAACTGAACTAGAACTGAACTAGAACTGAACTAGAACTGAACTAGAACTGAACTAGAACTGAACTAGAACTGAACTAGAACTGAACTAGAACTAAACTAGAACTGAACTAGAACTGAACTAAAACTAGTCTGGACAAGTCTGTTGCCTAGTCTGTTTTCTAATATATTAACTAGTCTGATAACTACTTAGCAGATGTACGTAACATATCGTTGCGATACTGAAGTATTTTTCGATGACAAAAGGTCCAGAAAAAAGTACAATAAACCAAAATTTTCCATCCCTGCCATACACCCATATAAATGTAGAGTAAATAAGTTATCTCGCAAGCAAATAAAAACAGCTTCAAGTATCATTTCATTTATTTTATAAATTTTTTTTTTTTTGCACACAAATCATCAGACTTACTATAGAACTGAAGGCAAGAAATAATAAAAAAAGATACTGATATAACAATTATATTTATTATTATTTCTACTACAACTACTACTACTCTCTCTTTGATTCAATACTAATACGTTTACAAAAATTTGTTGCAGATTCGCGCATTCATTGATCGTTTAGCTCTCAACGTTCTTACACTCGTTTCGAAGCTGTTGTTCCGTTTCGTACGTATATTTGATCCGTCGTGATACGCGTTCGCTGGGTGGTTGTTTCAACCAAGGTTTTGCTAAGATGCTGGTCTCCTTTCGCCATGCGAAGCCTTGCTTCGTTGTGTTAAAATTGCTCCACTAACGTGTGCTTACAACAATTACCGTGTTTTCATCTTTTTTTGGGGAAAAAAATTTAAATAAAAACTAAAAAAAAGAAAATTTTTTTGTAAAAAAAAAAAAATTATTCATAAAATTTATAAAAGTGTTATAAAACCAAAACACACGCCTTTAAAATTTTATAAAAAAAATAGACTTTATTAGATAAGAAAGTTAAAAAAAAAGAAAACAAATTTTGTTTAGAAGAAAAAAAAAGTGTGAAAATTTTACTCAAATAAAGTGTGAAAAAGTTATCAAGATTAATACAACTACAACTTTGCAAATGAATTTATATAAAAAATAAAAAACAAATATAAAATATTAAAAAAAAAAGTAATAAAACTTGAGTTAAATTCTCTAACTAAAATAAAGAAAATTAAAATTCTCTATATAAAAGAATATTACAAGAAAATTTTGTACGCAGTTTAAAAATTAACGTCGTTTTAAAAACAACTTACAAAATTTAAATAACTTATTTAAAATAATAAGAAAAAAAAACATTTTGTGCTTAAAAAACTTAAAAAATAAAAAAATCCTTCAAAACGGCTGCTTTAAACTTATTAAAACAAAACAGATTTTGTTTTTTAAAAAACATCATTATTTGATATTGTTAACGATAAATGGAGAAAATTGAACAACAATTTCATATGAGTTCTTCCTTCTTCCTCCATGAGTATCCTGAGAGTTTTATGTGCCTGATCAACAAGATGCTGTTAAAAGTTGAGAATACTCTATTGCGTAGTCATCGTCAGCGAGAGACCACCGGTATTAAGAAACTCTACAATTCGTTTTTTGTATTGTTTTAATTGGTTTGTGGTAAAAACAAATTTACACCCGTCTCTTTGTTGCCGGTCATAAGAAATAATTTGTATTAAACTTTAAACGTATAATCATTATAAAAATATAAAATAAATATAAAACTTAACAAAACTAAACAGAAAAGAAAGAAAAATATAACTTAAAACCTAAATAAAAGTTAAAAAAAAAAGTTCGATAAAAAAAAAACTTCCTTATCGAATTATAGAAAAATTGTGAAAAATTATCTTGTAAGTTTGTTAGTTGAAAATGTAAATTTAATAACAACTATTAAACAAAATATTAAAGAAAACGCCTTTTAGAAAAGTTACTGTGCTTCTTTTGTTGTATAAAATTGCCGCTTCAAACTTAATCCTTGGAAAAAATTCTCTTTCTAACTTAAAATCTAAAGAGCCTTTTTTAAAGTGCTCTAAGATTGTGTTTCATCAAACGAATGGCTCTATCGCTGGTTGCTTCCCTGCCACATCATCAATCCAGTTATTTTGATATACAATCTTTTTTGGATCCTTATTCTTTGGAAACTCATAACGACACTCAAACCTCTTCGAATTATATGAGTGCAAATCAATCGTTTAATCAACAGCAGCACCAGCGTTCTACGAAAATTCTTTTAAACAATTACCACAACACCGATTTAATGGAGTTTAACAATAGTTCTAATAATCTACAACCAACTTCAGCACTACAGCAGCAGAATAATAGTCAGTTAACAACAAATATTGCACAGGTAAGTGTGAATACTTATTCTGTATAGGATTTAAAGGTTTTGAATAGTTTAATTTAGAAATTTTTGAAAACAAGAAAGATTTTCTGTAGATATCATAAAGTTTATTGGATGGATCAATCCGACTCTACACAGAGGGAAAAAGAAATATAGACGCCTAGTACCAAATTGACACCAAAGTGTTTAGAATTTTTCAATAACATCCGTTGTCAAAGTATATACATACGTACGACAACACTATGTAATGTTGACAACGCAACGTTGTCAACATTGCAACAATTCGTTGTCGAAATCTTAATTTTATTCACATCCGTTGTCTACATGTTAACAAACGTTGTAAGATCACTATTGGCAACGGATTGTTTGTCAATAGTGAGCATATCACGTTTGTTAACGTTTAGACAACGGATTTGTATAAAATTTAGATTTCGACAACGAATTGTTACAATGTTGTCACCATTATTAGATATTGTTGTCGTACGCATGTATACTTTGATAACGTATGTTATTGAAAAATTATAAACAGTTTGGTGTCGACCAGGTGTGTATATTTATTTTTCCCTCTATGTAGTTTAGTTTATGTTAGGTTCGCATGCTGCTCAAGTTCTGTCATCACAGGATATAAACATAAGTCCATTACAGACCCAGTTATAGGGATCCAACCATTTAAAGTATATGTGTATATTCTGGCCAATTCATCTGCGATCTCATTACCCTATGACAGTGTTTACTAGAGTTTTTCCTTTTCGAACTCCTTAACCGTATTCTCATATCCAACAGGATTCGGATCTTTTTACGGCTGGAATATTTTCTCATTAACGACCTTGCAGATCACGCGTTAGAGTTGGTAACTTGTATAGAGGATAAGACTCAGAAAGAAAGATTATATTGATATCGCGAAATTTCCGATAAGGTAGTTTTTACTAATGATCTTCATAGATATTATTTTATATTCAACTAACACTACCCGGCATGTTTCAATATTGTAGAAAGTTCCCTGTTATATATAACCATTTCATCAGGATGTAGTGTGTTTAAAAGAAACTCAAAAAGTACCATTTAAATAACGAAAAAGTACCAAAAACCATTAATTTCTATGAAGTACCAGCTGAAGAACGAAAAGTACATAATATTTCTAGGTTCAATAGGTCTAGGTCCAAGAAAGAACAAGTAGGAGTTCTATATTAGGCTGTGCCGAATCGTATCTACTCTTCACAGTGATGTGTTAAAAAATACTCAGTACAAAAAATTATTACAAAAAAAATCAAAAAATACCAGTTGTATATTTTGAAAAACGAAAAAGTATCAGGGCTCTACATGTTTAATTTCATGTTTCTAGGTTCCATATTATTGAAAATTCAAAAAGTAGCTTTTGAAGACCGAAAGAGTACCAAAAAGTCCTCTTTTACATGTTCGCACTTACTCTGGGCTCTACATGCTTAATTTAATGTTTCTAGCTTCAATATTATAGTAAAATAAAAAAGTACATTTTGAAGAACGAAAAAGTACCAAAAAGTCCCTTTTTACAAGTTCTTAATTTCATGTTTCTAGGTTCCATATTATTGAAAATTCAAAAAGTACCTTTTGAAGACCGAAAAAGTACCAAAAACCTTTTGTAGAACGAAAAAGTACCAAAAAGTCCCTTTTTATGTGTTCTGACCTAATCCGGGCTCTACAAACCTAATTTCATGTTTCTAGGTTGAATATTATAAAGTTCAAAAAGTACCTTTTGTAGAACGAAAATGTACCAAAAAGTTCCCTTTTATAGGTTCTTACCTAGTCAAGGCCCTACATGTTAAATTTCATGTTTCTAGGTTCAATATAATAGAAAATTCAAAAAGTACCTTTTTTGAACGAAAAAATACCACAAAAGTCCCCTTTTATGTGTTCTTGCCTAATCCGGGCTATACATACTTAATTTCATATTTCTAGGTTAAATATTATAGAAAATTTAAAAAGTACCATTTGTAGAAAGAAAAAGTGCCAAAAAATAGTACATGTAACGGGAGTTTCAAATAACACTTCATTATCATATTTAGTGTTACTAAAACTACCAATTTTTAAAATTTTATCAAAATTGGCTCAATGAGTTGAAATAAAATAAAATTTTCCATTTTTCGCCCCCTTTTGGTACATTTTTCCTCCCTTTTAAAGTAATAATAATTTTACTCTAAGAAGTTACAGTATAGTAGTGAAAGCCCATTATTGTATATTCATATTTATAAGTCAGGAAATAGAAAACAATGTTTGATGAAAAAATTAACAAAAATAAGTACAATTTTTATCCCTTAAACGGTCGAATATCGCAAAAGTACTAAATTTGTATTTTTGTATTTTTTCGATAGATTATGAATGAATTAAAAATGTTATTTCTGACATGGGATAAGTATTATTTTATAGTTTTATTGTACATTTTTTAGTTTAGGAGATATGAGGGTTCCCCCTAAGCATTCGATTTTTGAAATATCCTGTTTTAGTAGATTTAGTATTTGCCGGAAGACCAAATTTCTAGCTTCAACCGTTTAGGCTGTGGGATGATGAATCAGTCAGTTAATGAGTCAGTAACGTTAGAATTTTATGTATATATGTAGTTCTAGAACCATTATAAACAGAATCATTTCCGATTCTTGAATAGCAATCTTGGAACTAGATACATATATAGCTATTAAAAACGGTTCATAAGAAGGTGTATTTGTTATCTAATTATTTCTTAGAACTAGCTCCGAAAGTGATAATTGGCTCCAGGAACGGATAATAATAGATCAGATTTTGAGAAATATATTAACAAGGTTATGTTTATTTATGTATATCTTAAATACATCCGTAATTACTTAAATAGGACTTTTGACCGGTATGTCTAGGAAAATTTTTTTTAAAGGGACCTAGTTAATGTAGCTTTCATACAACGAGAAACGCCACTTAAAACCCGAAATGGGAGGGCTGCTGGCACTAATAACTGTAGATAGACATGAAAGTCGTCCTTGGATCCCTTTCGACGAATTTTGTGACAGTTGCAATGACACTGATAATGAAGAAACTGTTTTCCACATTCTCTGTAAATGGCCTACTCTAGCTGTCAAAAAGAATAGATTCCTTAGCAAATACATTATAATGTATTATCTACGCCTAGACTCTCACTGCTAATAGCACATCAGTATATATTACGGCAGTAATGACTGTAGACTGGGTGGATGACAGACATAAAAGTCGGCTTTGAAAGAAGAAAGAGAAAACTGTTTTACACCACCTTGATGGTGAATTAACTGCTCCCAGATTATCACTGCTAATACCACATTAGTATATATTTGATTTGATTGATTAATAATACCGGTAAATATTTTTATAACATAAAATCGCAGCACGTTTGTGTAGGTACTAGGGGAATTGATTGTGTTAAAAATTTCCAGAATTTTGATAACTACGACATTTGTGTACCGATTTTGTTGGTATTTATAGCATAATTCTCAAAAGCTTGTTAGATAGATAATTCTAATATAAATCCCAAAAACATTTGGGAACTTTAGAAAATTAGGGCAAACTTCTTCGCTCTGTATAAGAATTCAGAATATACATATATCTCTTGGAATGCAAAATTAAGGGGGTAATTTGCTCCTGTGTTCTTAAGAGTCGAATCACCCAAATGTTAAAAACCTATTCTATTTTATAATAAACATTGAAAATAAAATTTGTTTGAAAATACGATAACTTTGTTAAGAGAGAGATCGTCCATTGGAGAGAGTAGTTTTGGGTAGTCTTTAAGCATAGATCAGATTACTTCTTGAAAAATCTATGAAATGCACTTATTGATAAATTCAATATTTAAGAGTGAAATGTTGCATTCTTTATTTTCACTTTTAAAGAAAAAATCTCACTCACTACTTTTTGTACAATGTACATATTTAGAAAATAATTTCTTTTTTTATATTGAGTAGTATTTATTACTGTTTTTTTCTATTTATTATTATTTTTTGATAAGAATAAAAGTAGACTTGCCAATCTCTATATTTATTTTAATTTGTATATGTAGTATTTATATTAATTTAAAGCGAGACGTTTATAAAAATATGAGAAGCATCATATTTATTTAAAATTATCAGTGAGTTTATTTTAATTTTTTTCTTAATTCAATAAACAATGCTCGCTCGTCCGACCTTATTGATAATAACAATAATACACACTATATAGCGCTATATAGTAGAGCTTAATTTCACACAATGAAATTATGAGATTTACAAATAATATTTTTTTTCTTTTCATACTCAGTCTGACAACAAGTTTAATGCTTTAAAAATATAATTTTTTCAAAAGTTTAAAAAACTTTCTATACATTTTCAATTCACTCTAATTAGTTTTTTTTTTCGTTAAAATAATGCAAATAATGACAAAATAGTCGGCTAAATTGTATAG